GCCACATCACTAATTTGCGCATGACGTAGCTAGGCCCTGTATACACACACACCCCTTACACCATAGCTGCGACAAGGAGGAGGGGGAGGAGTAGGGGGAAAACTATAGGAGGACGAGACAAGAGGCAAAGTTCATGTCGAGGAGTAGGAGTACAAGCGGTTTTTTTTTTTTTTTTCGGACCATATAAGGGATCCGGACCGCAATCCGGACATGGGATCCGGACCGGTCCGGATATTCCGGAATATTCCGGTTTTCCGGAAGTCCAGAAGGGCCCAGGAGGTCCGGGGTGCGGGGTCCGGATTCGGTCCGGTGTCCGGTCCGGCGTAGCTATGATAGAAACAGACTCCCCCGGACCGTCAGGAATAGGAAGAGGGTGCAACAGCCCATAAGGCTTCTGCCGAGACGGTTTAATGCATTGACAAACTTCACACTCAGCCACAAACCTTTGCGCCATCCTTTTCATACCAGGCCACACAAACTTTTCCAACAGATTCCCGTATGTCTTCTCAACACCGAAATGTCCACTCCGACCATGAGCCAAATCCAAGAAGTGAGTGATGATTGGCTCATGGTTTCCGGATCCTTGGCAGTGTGCTCAATGAGTTCCTTCTGTAAGTCCTTGCGAAGATCGTAGGAACCCACTAGGCAAGTCATGTACTCAGGGTGGCGAGACAAAGCATCCGCAACACGATTATAGCAGCCTTTCTTGTGTTTGAGTTCGAAATCATACACATCAAGCTCATGCAGCCAGCGGGTCAGTGTAGTTGATGGGTTTATCTGTGTCTGAATCCACTTCAAAGTCTCATGATCCGAGAACACTTTGAAATGGCGACCCAAGCGGTAGTGTTTCCAATGGTCTAGTGCCTCTCTCAAGGCATAGAGCTCTCTCATGTAAGTGAAGGCAGCTACCTTGTGGCTGGGCATGCGTTTGCTGTAGTATTCCAGCGGACGTAAACCATCGCCATCATCTTGCTGCAGCACTGCACCAATCCCATACAAACTTGCATCCGTAGTTACTACGAATGTAAGCTTGGGATCTGCAATGCGGAGCACTGGATGACTCACCAAAGCCTCCTTTAGTGCTTCGAAGGCTGTTGTGCACTCCTCATCCCATGTGTAGGACACATTCTTGCTGGTTAGTCTAGACAATGGACGGGCAATGATAGAAAATTTAGGCACAAACTTACGGTAATACGACGCAAGACCAAGAAAAGAACGCAACTCGCGGACATTCGCAGGTTGGGGCCACTTTTGGATGACCTCAACCTTGGTTGCCTCGGGCTCTAGGCCTGCAGCAGACAACCGATGTCCAAGGTAGATGACGCTGTCCCTCCCAAACTCAGATTTCTCCAAGTTGAGATGGAGTTGCGCGTCCTTGAGGATCTGCATCACTTCCTCAAGGTGTCTCATGTGCTCCTCCATTGATTTGCTGAAGANATGGAGTTGCGCGTCCTTGAGGATCTGCATCACTTCCTCAAGGTGTCTCATGTGCTCCTCCATTGATTTGCTGAAGATAAGAATGTCATCCAGATATACAACAACAAATCGGTTGATCTGATTGCGAAACACTTTGTCCATGAGACTTTGGAAGGTGGCTGGTGCATTCGTGAGACCGAAGGGCATAACTGTAAACTCGTACAGCCCATCGCGAGTTTTGAATGCAGTTTTGTGTTGGTCGGCAGGTTCGACTTCGATCTGGTGATAACCAGATTTGAGGTTGATCTTGCTGAAGACCTTGCACCCACCTGCAGCGTCAAGCAAGTCATCAATACGTGGCAAAGGGTATGCATTCTTCCTTGTGATTCTATTCAATCCGCGGTAGTCAATACACATGCGCAGTTTGCCTCCTTTCTTAGGGACAAACAGCACTGGTGCACCAAATTCAGACTCACTGGGTTAGATCCATCCCTTCCCAATCATCTCATCAATCTGTCGTCGCAACTCCTCCAATTCGCCTGAGCCCATTCGATAGACACAACCTTTTGGAGGGGTGCTACCTTCAATCAACTCGATTTTGTGTCGGACCGGTCGCACGGGAACTCCCATGCGGTTCAGCCAAGACCTCAGGGAACCAGTTCAGAAGGTTGCGGATTTCCGGTGGGATTTCCGGAGGGGGATCATCACTCTCAGGAGCCAGCATACCAGATTGCATAGGTGCAGCCAAAACAACAGAATTAGAAGTAGAGTCATTTGGACTAGAGATGGATTTAGTAGAGGTAGAAGTAGTTGCCTCCGAGGTGGAAGCAACATGCAAAGTAGAATCATTATGTACAACAAAAATAGAAGGCACATGAGCAGGCCTAACAAAGGCTATATACATTTGCTCATCAGTTTTGCGCCTATGCCACTTTTTGCAGAATTGCATTGCATTGAGAAAGGTTACTTGGGACTCGCGCGGCTCATCCAAGAGGACTGGACGCTCGATTCCCATGGCATTTTTTACCATGAATTGTGAGTCCTTCCACGTGGTTCTTTCACATTGGGCCTGCAACCAGCCCAAGCCAATAACCGCTTCGAAGGGGCACTGATCAAGGACATAGAAGTTCAATTCATGCGTGATTGTGCAGTCGGCGTCAAAGGTAGTGCGCACACCTTTGACTGCATGCGTAGATGTGACAACCTCTTGGTTGCCTACTTGGGTCCGACAAGGATTCTGCAAAGTCACTTGCTTCATCCCCAAGCGTGTCTTACGAATGCCGTGCAGTGAGAAGTAGTTGGCGGTTGCACCACAATCAGCCAACGCACGGATGTAACGGTCATTAATGTAGAGTTTGAAGAAGATCAACTTCGTTCTCCCTTGCGCGCGTTCTTGCTTCATGTGAGCCCAGCGCGTCAACAGAGAATGGAAGTCAATTTCTTCCGACTCTACCCAAGGCTCCTTGTATAGGATGTGGATCTTCTCAGCCTTGGAATCAGCATCATATGGGGTTTCAGGAGAGGGTTGCTGAGTGGGATCAGAATCCAAAGAAGAATTTGTACTTACATGTTCAGCCTCTCCATCAGTAGAGTGTGTTGATGATGCCTCTACCCCCGTTGCTGGTTTCCCTGCTGCAATCTGAAACAATGTTGGACTGAATGTCCCGGTTTAGTGCAATGCAGGCAAACTCCTCTCTTCACCCTATTCTTCCACTCGCTTTCACTAATCCGGAGATCTACCCATGGTTTTGTGGCAGGATCTTCCGGTTTTTGTGGAATCTTTGCTCCCTTGGGAAGAAGGATAGTGTTAGTGTTGTTCTTCATCGTGGTTCTCGGTCCCTTACTTTTGAAGGCAGTCTTTTTAAAGGCATTTATAGATTCATCGTCATTTATACACTCAGACTCATGGGCTGACAAAGAGCAAGATGCCCCGCAGTCTTGCTCTTGATCGTCATCAAGAGAAGATTCATCCACGAGGGTCTCCTCGTCAGCCTCAAGCAGATCATGTGCTGCAAAACGGTTGCTGCCTGGAAACCGCTTGCGGCTAGTGGCCTTTTTGCCACTTGATCCACCCGGGAGGTCTTGTGCCTCCAACTTGACTAAGTCCCGCATGAGGGTAAGCCAATATGTATATCCGCTGAGTCCGAGCCCGAGGCGATCTTTTAGAGTAGAGGGGACCGTACCTTTTATCACATCCAGACAGGACTGCGCAATCATCTCCAAATCCGGAGTAGCAAAGAGTTTACTAACATACTGCTGCAGGCTGTGCATGGTGCCGGTCCACTTGCTGTGCTTGAGCTTGTCAAGCTTAAGTCTTGCTTTAGCTGCAGCATGTGGATCAGCATATTGTTTGATCAAAAGATCCTCAAGTGTGGTAGTAGGCGTAGCCTTCAACCATTTGTTCATGTCTATTCTCTTATAGCCTGATTGAACAGCTTGGGTTTCTAGGAAACCCCACACGACGGGCTCCACATTGGTCCCCAGGATAGACGACTGAGTGGACGGGGGTGTCCCCACCACATCAAAGTAGGACCGCATAGAGCTGATCCAAGACTCGACGTCTTCCTTTCCGTCATACTTGGACGGAATCTGCGCCGCCTTCCTGTCGATGTAAGCAAAGCTGCCGCCTGGCCCAGCCATTGCTGGGTCCGGACTCGGGACTGCAACAGTTTCAGAAGTCCCTGCACCACCACTTGCCGCTGCAGCAGCAGCAGCGGGGTCTGGACTTGTTGCAGATCCGCTTTGGCTGTTAACCACACTCAAAGAAGAAGAAGAAGTAGAAGGAGAAGAAGTAGACATAGTAAGAGGGGCAAAATTGGACTGACACGCAGCATTAGAAGCAGGGTAGGTGAGTGGAGAGACGATTTGAGCCTGCTGCGAACTAGCAAACTGTTGCAGTTGATCGCGGTGCTGCTGCGCCATCTTGGCCATGTCTTCGCGCAACTCCTTGAGCTGCTTAAACACCTGTGCGAGTTGGCCAGTATGGTCCTCAGCAACCCGGACGCCTGCTAAGGCTCTGAGGAGGGGAACCGTTTTCTCTTCCACCTCCTCATCAGTCAGAGCGGACACGGTGCTAAGGACGGCCTCGTGAGCCTGCACCTTATCCCTTCTCTCTCTCTCTTTCTCTTCCCCCTCCTTCTTCAAGGCTTTCTCGTAGAAGAACTGATACTGCGTTTTTTCTGCCTCAGTTGCAGCGTCCATCTGCAGTTTCCAATCTGCTGCAGATGCCATGATGGAGGATGAGGGTGTCAGTAAGACTCTCAAGAGGGGTCCGTACTTCCTCTCAGCTTTGTGACGAACACTCCTGTTCCCTCTCCTCACTCCCTCAAGAGCAACACTCAGTAACTTCTCTCTTCTCTCTCTCTCTCTCTCGTTTGCGACCGTGTAGACGCAGGCATTAATGAACCCAATGAAAGAAACAGCTTGAAATCATTCAGAAGAGAAGGTAGAACTCCTAGCCGGAGCGGCAATTCATTTGGACCGGAGAGCAGTCAAAACAGCAAAAAAAGAAAAGATCAGAGAGATCTGATCCAGCCACACAGTCTGGACTGACTACATATGGGGTCCTCCCAAGCCTAGCCAGCCTCAGCTCCGTGAAAACACAGCAAATCAGATTCAAGATGTACAACGAAATGCAAGAGAGAATTGAGTGGTGTATAAGGTGCGAGTCAGGCGGCGGATTGTGCGGTAAAGTCTGATAAAACGTCCCAGCAGAGATCCCCTCCGCAGCGAGTGTCCTGGTCCGAAAGCATAAAGTCCGTATCCCAATCAGATAGAGCAAGGTAACTGACGTCAACAGATTTGGCCTGAGGGGCCCTTCTTGTTGGGCCCGGTACCACTGAGTCCCAAATGGTCCCAGTGGAGTCAGAACCGGGTCCCAACCAACAAGAGTTCCACAGAGACCTACTCTGTCCCTATTGAATTGAAAAACGAAATTTTGCTCCAGAAAGAACCTGTAGACTACCGCCGTTCAGAAGGAAAAAAACAAAGCACTGTAGAGAAATATCACATGGCAAACAAGATACTCCATTCATTCACTCATCAGGCGAGTAGGCAGTTCACACACCTCACACACAATCAAGACTATGGAGGATGGAAGAAGAACCTAGAAAACCCCAACGGGCAGTCAATTCCATGCATACACACATGGGCACCCTGGTGGCACAGCACTTACCTGAGCGGCCGGGCTCTTGAGATGAAAAGAACTCACCCCCCTCTCACATAGTCCTCCTGACCCAATTCCTCTACACTAGTGTCCTATCATCTAGGAGGGTCAACATCTAACCCAAAGTACAAAGCCGGATCCCCCGTCAATGTTGAAGATCAAAGCAGCAACTTGCAGTCCGTAGGTGCAGATATGGCTGCCACCCTCAAGCTCGCCTACTTGAGGGGAGCCCTAAGGTCACTCCTCGTCTTCCCTGAAGTCCAGATTCAAGTTGTAGGTGCCCTTCACTGTCGCCTCTCTCAAATTGCATCACGAAGTCCCACCTTGTGTCTCGCCACCACAAACATGCACTCAAGCAACCAGGCCGGGTCTAGTGTCGACCCTATACGGCCCTGCCAAGTGGGGGCAGCTTCCCTTTACCACGCTGCCCCACTTAACCCTAACTTCCAGCCCTAACCCTAAGTGGTAGCCCTTACCATTAGGGTTAGGGTTATGGCAGCAAAGTCAACTCTCGCCAACAAGTAGAATCCGCTCTGATACCAATGTTACGATCCTGGCCAATTTTGAAGTCCACAATCATCAGGAAGTACAATGTTGTCCAATTGCGAAAAGAAATGAATGAACTTGAGCCCAATGCCGTCCAATTGCAAAAGGAATGAAAGAACTTGAGAGGAGAGAGAGGGAAAGAAGAAGAAGAAGAAGTAAGAAAGAAGAAAGAGATGATGTACTCCAGCATAAACCAAAGACAAAGCTCTTCTTCTTCGCTCAACAACCTCCTTCTCTTTATCTCCTCCTCTCTTATTCAAACAATAAATAAACAATAATAATGTTGAACAGYTGAACCAGAATCAATGTCCGAATCCCACTTCTACTGCAGGCACAAGATGAGGTCCACCATAGCCATGGCAGCCCTTCTTCTTCCTCCACATACAGGCCGAGGCTATGGCGGACGACTGAGGCTTCAGCCTCCGGTACCAAAGACAACCCCCAAGCAGCTATACCGCTGCCCACTTCAAGGTCATCACCCAGCAGCTATGCTGCTACCCACTCAACCGCCATGCCTGACTCTGTCCGAGCTTCCTTGATGCGGCACTACACCCACTGGGGCCTTCCTGATGCAGCGCCTAGCAAGGAGATGAAGATGGTGTCTACCATAGCCAGTAAGTACCTCGCCACTCTCCTCCTTGGTCCCCTTCTCCCTCCTYCTCCTACCGGTAGAGYTCCACCATAGCCAAGGTGGAAGCTCCCGGCTTCTTCCTCCCAGCAGCGCTGAAGTGCCCAGCGCTACTCCAGCCAGCGCTCCAGCAGCGTGACGCCCAACTCGCACACTGAAGAATGAGGCGGAGCTCTTGCCTCCGCCTCTAGATATAG